TTTCTACCTTAACTGAGCAATGTGAAAGTTTAGAATTCTGTTCTATCCAAGGATTACAACATTAGAGACATGCTTTAATTTATAGAAGTGGCAGAAATTTATTCAGCTCTTCTAAATGTGGCTCATGTACTCCAGTCCTTTGAGTTTATCCTTCCTTATCTCCCCCCCGCCCGCCAAAAAAAAAAAAAAACGGGTACTGGCTTAACAGGCAATAAAGTTCAAGTTCAGCTCTACCTTTTTGGTTGCCTGCTACATGTTTTATGTCTTTTGGCATTTTAGACTGTCAGAATGAACGAATTAAGTCCTGTCAGCACTGGATGATTACCTTGATGATAGTAAAAGCCAAATTCTTCTGTCATTCATGATTTTTAAAGCTTCATTTTGTATTGATTTGTGATAACTTGTACATGCCAGGAGACAGGGAAATATAATCTTGTTTTCTTCTTTTCGAAACTTAAAAAAATATAAATGTTGTGCTTTGGCAGAAAGGGTTTTCACCTGAAGAACATTATATTCTTTGGTACAAAATCTTGAACAAGAACTAAGCTTCAAATATATAACACACAATATGATTAGCATGTCATGTCAGTCACAAAGTCATGTCCAACCCATCGTGACCCCATGGACAACGTTCCTCCAGGCTCTCCTGTTCTCCACCATCCCCCAGAGTCCACCTAAGTTCACAACAATTGCTTCAGTGACTCCATCTAGCCCCCTCATCCTCTGCCATCCCCTTCTTTTGCCATCAATTGTTCCCAGCATCAGAGTCTTCTCCAGGGAGTCCTTCCTTCTCATTAGGTGGCCAAAGTATTTGAGTATCTGGCCTTCTAAAGAGCAGTCAGGGTTGATCTCCTCTAAGACTGACTGGTTTGATCTCCTTGTAGTCCAGGGGACTCAGAGGAGTCTTCTCCGTGCCCACAATTCAAAGGTCTCAATTCTTCTGCGCTCAGCCTTCCTTATGGTCCAGCTTTCACAGCCATACATTGCAACTGGGAAAACCATAGCCTTGACTATACGCTCTTTTGTTGGCAGGGTGATGTCTCTGCTTTTTAGTATGCTGTCCAGATTTGCCATAGCTTTCCTCCCAAGGAGCAAGCGTCTTTTAATTTCTTGGCTGCGGTCACCGTCTGCGGTGATCTTGGAGCCCAGGAAAAAAAATCCTCACTACCTCCATTTCTTTCCCATCTATTTGGCAGGAAGTGAGAGAACCGGATGGCCATGATCTTAGTTTTCTTAATGTTGAGTTACCAGCCAACTTTTGTGCTCTCCTCTTTCACCTGCATCAAGAGGCTCTTTAGTTCCTCTTCACTTTCTGCCATTAGAGTGGTATCGTCTGCATATCTTATGTGGTTAATATTTCTCCCGGCAATCTTAATTCCAACTGGTGATTCATCTAGGCCCACCTTTCTCATGATGTGCTCTGCATATAAGTTAAATAGGCAGGGCGACAGTATACAGCCTTGCTGAACTCTTTTCTCAATTTTGAACCGATCAGTAGTTCCATGTCCAGTTCTCACTGTTGCTTCTTGACCCACATATAGGTTTCTCAGGAGACAAGATTCTCTGGTACTCCCATCTCTTTAAGAACTTGCCACAATTTGTTTTGATCCACACAATCAAAGGCTTTAGTGTAGTCTTTAGCATTCCAATCCTCCATGATGATAAGGACATCATTTTTTGGTGTTATTTCTAGAAGGTGTTGTAGGTCTTCATAAAACCGGTCAACTTCAGCCTCTTCAGCATCAGTGGTTGGGGTGTAGACTTGGACTACTGTGATGTTGAATGGTTTGCCTTGGATTTAAACTGAGATCATTCTGTCATTTTGGAGATTGTATCCCAGTACTGCTTTTCCTACTCTTTTATTGACTATGAAGGCTACTCCATTTCGTCTGAGGGATTCTTGCCCGCAGTAGTATACCTGATGGTCATCTGAATTAAATTCACCCATTCCTCCCCATTTTAGTTCATTAATTCCCAAGATGTCGATGTTCAGTCTTGTCATCTCATGTTTGACCACGTCCAGCTTACCTTGATTCATAGATCTTACATTCCAGGTTCCTATGGAGTATAGTTCTTTACAGCATCTGACTTTCCTTTCACCACCAGATACATCCACAACTGAGTGTCCTTTCAGCTTTGACCCAGTTGCTTCATTCTTTCTGGCACTACTAGTACCAGCCCTCTGCTCTTCCCCAGTAGTGCATTGGAGACTGTGAGGAGACAGAGGGGCTCACCCCTTTTCCTGGGGCCTTCCACAGGGCCGGGCCGAAGACAACAGGGTGAGGCTGGGAGTCCATGTGGGGAGAGCAGTTTGCAAGGAAGCAGCGGCCAGGGGATACGAGCGAGCACACAGCTGTATGGGATTGCGGACCGGGGCAAGGACAGCTGGGTTGGGTGGAATGGTGCGCGAGGAGGGAACATAAAGAGGCGGCAGAGGAAGGCGGAGGGAGGAGAGAGAGACGGCGAGAGAGCAAAGAGTGTGGAAACGCACGTGTGTTGGAGGAAGAGCTGGTGCGTCTGCCACTGGCAGGCCAGGGCAAACCTTGAGCAGAGACTGGGCAGTGCTACTTCCGGGATGACGCAGCTCATTGCCATAGCGCCAGGGGGGAAGGGAGCCGGAGCAGGCAAGGGAAAGGCGCTGTGGGAAGCGTGTGGTGAAACTGTAACAGAAAAATAAAGGCCTGGTGAGTGCACCAGCTTTTTTGTGTTGCTCTTCATGGAGAAGCTGGGAAAACGGGGCTTTGGCCCATAGCCCCCTCCTGATGCAGTCACAGAGACCTTCTGACCTGAGTGGCTCATCTTCCGGCATCATATCCCTTTGCCTTTTGGTACTGTCCATGGGGTTTTCATGGCAAGGATTCTGGAGTGGGTTGCCGTTTCCTTCTCCAGTGGATCAGCTTTTGTCAGAGCTCTCTACTACGATCTGACCGTCTTGGGTGCCCCTACAAGGCATAGCTCATAGCTTCATTGCACTACACAAGCCCCTTCGCCACGACAAGGCAGTGATCCATGAAGGGGATGTTTAGCATACTTTAACTATATTTTAAACTACAGGTATATATGAAGCAGAAGTGAGCAGAAAACTTAAAAGCCTCAAAATACTGCTGGAATATATTAAACCCTTTATTGTAGAATGATAAAAGCCCAATAGATTCCACCTAGACTGATTCCAAGACAGATAGCATTACCTCACCCACTGTTTTTCACTTGCACGCCTTTTAATTCCTCTGAAAAGCAACTTCCGGTTAATGATAAACCAGAGGACTTTCCTGGATGTAAAAGGACCAAGGAGGTGATAATCCAGTCTTCTGCCAGAAATCTCACCCAAAACCAGCCTTGTCAAGGCAGTGCACTTAGTCCTTTTGCTCACTGGCATCCTCCGTTACACATTTGGAACTGGGTGATTCCAGTCAACCTTCTTTGCCTCTGCAACCAGAATTGAACTGCAAAGCATGCCGTTGCACTAAAAGCCCTTTGAGCACCTGCTAAGGTTTTTTATCCCTCTCCCTCCAAAATTGTTCCTTTATGCACCAATCTCCTTTGTAAAATCAGGGGGGTGGGGTTGGGCGACATTGCCGAATTCAATATGGGGGCAGTGGGGTTTGCATGTGCCTGGCAAACTGCATGTTTTTCACCACTGTTCTGAACAAATCCAATCAAGAAGTTGTTTAGCATGTTACTAAAGAAGGTAGAGATTGACTGCATTCACACACGGTGCCAAACCAGGCGACACAGTATCTTACCTGAAGTGCCAGGTTCAGACAGGCACATGGTTTCCACACATGCATGATTCCATGTTCTTCCACCTTCCCCCTTAATGGCAGCTGCTGTCCCATCCGTCCCCATGGCCGAAAAACAATTCCATGGTGCACCACTCCTGCCTGAATCATCTGTCTCTGCCACACAAAAACCCTGTGTGTGGCCATAGCCAGCTACCTTTTTTTGGGGGGGGGAGGGGGAGGTTTTTTCCTCCCTGCTGCTCAGCGAAGCCGCTGTCTATGTACTAGAGCAGCACTGTTACAGTAGAGGAGCACTAGAAGAGCACTTCGCACTGCTGCCCTGCTCTGTGCCCATGTACAAGCACACCCACACCTCTTCCTCGCTCACTGCTCACTCCCTCATCTACCAGGGGCTGCCTTCCCCCTGCAGCCAGGCACACGGAGGGCATCAGTGGGGGTACCCCTGCCAGGGGCTGAGGCAATCTGCCCTGCCGGGAGGGGTTGCCTGTGCAGTGCCTGCGGGCATCTGCCAAAGAACGTTCTCCAGCCGCCCACAAGGAATGTGCTTGTCCCACAGCTGTGGTGGAGGGTGGGGGACAGTGAGGCTTGCTGGCAGTCCTCAGGAATGCCAGGGACAAGAGGGGAGGGTGGAGATAAAGCGGGAGATGTGGGCTTTTTGCATGCTTAAAGGCAGCTATTCTTATTGTGGAACAGAATTTGAAATCAGCATTTTATCTGGCAATAAAGACATTTGCTTTAAAGTTACCACAGCTGTGGCCATGAACCAGAGATACCACATGTGGCTGTATGTACATATGCATACCAGTTTCTCTGATAAATAGTTCCTTACCACTACTTCCTCATTCCAAATGGCTGTTTAACTTTCTCAGAGTTTAAAGTGCAGTTTGGCAGAAGACCTCAGTATGTAGCAACGCTGCCAAACCTAAGACAGAGAATTGTATCTCTGTGAATTTGAGATCCACACTTTCTCGAGTTTGACCACACTGTGTAGGCAAAACCTGGTTATTGCAGTCCCTTTATATTTATCACCCATAACTTGAACTAAGTCTATCTTGTGTTTAATTTTCCTCCTTTAAAAATGTCTCAGTGCTTACAAGGAGACAAAGGCACTGGTGTGGTTTAGATGCAGAGTAATAATACTTAAACCCTGGATTCGAGGTGAGGGAAGGTGGCAACAAACTAAAGGTAAGCTGTGCCTGTACATCAATCTGAATCAAAATTGTGTCACTGACTCCCATTTCTTTTCCTTCTCTTCTGAAGGTGCTCTTACGGAGTGCTATGATGAACTGGGAAACAGATACCAGCTTCCTGTCTACTGCCTTGCCCCGCCCATCAACATGATAGAAGAGAAGGGCGACTTAGAGACCCTGGACATTCCTGATCCGCCACCTAACTCTGGTCACGAATGCCAGCTTCGTTTACGCCTCTCAACAGGCAAAGACCTCAGACTTGTGGTCCGCAGTATGGACACTGTCTATCACATGAAGAGAAGACTGCACACAGTAGAGGGTGTGGAGCCCGGCAGTCAGCGGTGGTTCTTTTCCGGCAGGCCACTGGCAGACAAAATGAAACTGGAGGAGCTAAAAATACCAAGGGACTATGTGGTGCAAGTCATTGTAAGCCAGCCCTTAACAAGCCCCACCCCGGTGGAGAACTGACTTGGCCTGTATGCCTCTTCTTTCCCTTTCCTGCTGTTCTATCATGAGGGATTTTTTTTCACTGTTTTCATTCTCCCATGCTGATGGATTGGTTCCAAACATTGACCAGCAAAAATTCCATCTGTGATGGAGCTTTAAGGAAACACACACACTCTCTCCTGAACTACCCCTGAAGACTTTGCTCAATTTAGTATTTCTTAACACCCCAGTAAGAAACTCTTAACTAAGTTAAAATGAAAAAAATGTGTGTGAGAGAGACCAGGCCTGCAGTTAAAAGAAGATAAAGCTGAAACTGTGCTTTGAACTGTAAGTGAAGTATTGATCCATGAAGGGGAAAAGCACTTTTCAAAGGATTAAACCAAATTGAAGTATTTCATGAAATCGGCATCACTTACAGTTCCACCAATCAGTGTAGTCAGGCTGGTAAATCTACGGTGCTGTGATATTGGGAGGGGTTGTTTCTGTTACGGTTTTGCTTACTGGCTCAATAAGGCTGCTACATAAAGGGACTGGGATAGGCTTTGAGGTGCACTCAGAAAATAGTATGATTGATCCCAAATTCAGGTTTTAGAAACAGGTTATAGTACATTCCAGGTTAGCAGCAAATCATGATTTGTCATTGTTGGCTACAGTATGTAGTAAATACTGCCTTCAGGAAAAAAAAGGCAATAATTTGGTAAATCATAGGGTTTAAACCCTAAATCCATGCATTTTATTGAATTGCTTGTGTACTGTAAAGCTCCTGGCTACAAGAAAACTTGTTCTTTGATTTACTAGCACCAGAAATGGGTCATTGCTAGGTCTAGTTAAAAACTCAGTTATTGAAGGAATACCAGGCTGAGAGACAAAAACAAAAAAAGTACAGGGCCTCTATCACTTGGTATGTTTCCCTCTAATGAATTAACCCAAGATAGTGATCTTAAAACCCTTTTATGGATAGCAATGGCTATGAACAAGCTCAGGAACCTTTCAGAATCATACACATCTTTAAGGTATAGGTATACAACTTGCTTCATAGCATCTGTTACTCCTTTCCCCTGACTTTTATATCTGCTTGCCAGTTAAACTAGTGTGTGCACACACATGCACACACACATCTTCCATTAGAAACACACATGGCAGGAAGGATTGAAAATATACTCCCTGGAAGGTGACACTATTGTAGGCTGTCTAATTACTTGATCTTTACATTTCACCATTGCAGCTTTCAATACATTTCATAGTCTGCATTTGGGGAAAGTGGATCCACTAGGCTGGTGAAAAACAGTACACATCCCAGGAACTTCTAAGCAGGATGGCATTTTTAAGCACTCTTTATCTTCCCTGCCATGGGTTTAGTTGCACTTCTTCACACTCGTGCATCCAACATGTCATTTAATTGGAGCTTCAAAGTGACCTTGGCAATATCATACATGCTCACATTTTCCCTTCAGAATGTGAAAGCAAGCTGTATATCAGAGGAGCAGGTCCTCTGGACAAAATTGCTAGTGATCCTACATAGAACAATAGCCAATTTAAATTTGGGTGATTGACACTACTCAAATCTGTCAAAGCAATGGGCACCCTTTTTACAGAAATACATTTGCCTTTCTTATAAGAGTTTGAACTTTTGATGAATTTCTCTCCTTGTTTTTGATAGACCATATTCCTGTTAGCAACATTATTATTAATTTTCCACTGTTAAGCTTTTACTAACATTCTCACCAGGCACCAGATCTGCTTGTCTTTTTGCATGTGACCCTCTTCAAGTTTTATAAGGGAGAAATTATTCTGATCCATGGAGAACAGGATCTAAGATGAGCATCTCCTTTTTGCAGTGAGCAAGTGTCCTATAACTAACCTAACCTAACCCTAAACTTACTTAGATTATCTTGCTGTGACAGCTAAGAACTGGAATGATAAAGCTTATAGGGTTTTCAATGTAGATTAGATTTGAAGGAGTTTCAAAAGGGAACCATGATGGGTTTTATTCTCTAATTTGTTTTAATCCCTTTTGAGGAAACCAGATTTCACATTTGGTATCACTTGTCACATATAGTCATCAGAACTACAGCTCTCCTCTAGGCACTGTCTACTACTGCCTAATCTTTAGTTCAGTCTCAGGACGAAGAATACTTAAAATGCTATGGCAACAACATAAAGCAAACGAGTTTCTCTTTTCCAGGTACTGACTCATTCTCCCACTTTCCCTATATTCAGTGGCACTAATATTCAGAGCAAGCACTTCATAATGAAGTGCAAATTGACACAGATCCTACACTGGTCACAAAGGGTGCATGTTGACTTAACATTGAGATATTTAAGGTAGAATCTAAATGTGTTCCAGCTCTTTTCAAAATCACCCCACATGCAATCAACGTCAAAAGAGTACGAGCTTACTGCACAAAACTCTTGACAGTTTTCCTATTGGGGATATTGGCTAGATTTTCGTTTACTCCATCTGTGTCTGGTGTAGTTCCTTTTCCTTTCTGTGGACAAAACAGGCAAGCCACTGCCACCGCATATCAGAGGAAGCAAGTCCTGCAAGATAAAGCATACATCCAGTCCTTTTTTCTTTTTCTATGTTAGGAAAAGAGACAAAGATAATTACAGCTGCTAAGGATCAATCAAGGTATATGCAGGCTAATGACTTTTAAAACAGCTTCTGCCTCTTTTAGAATGTGTTCTCCAAGATCATTTAGACCATTTTCAGACCATGTTTCTTGATGACAAAGAAAGCCGCAGTGGGGGAGGTGGGCTCGTCAAGATGCCCTCCATGGAGCCTCTTGGAGGGTAAGGACAGGCCTTCCACTGCTCCTTGTTGTCATTGGCAACAGACTGGGAAGAAGAGAACTGGGAAATGAGTGACGTGCATTTCAAGGAGATGCTTGCTCTTGTCACGCGTAACAAGAGGTCAGGTAAGAAAGGAGCACTGACTTCCACCTCTCCTCTTCCTTCGGTGCTGGGGATGGATGTCCCGTCATCTCTGTTACCCAGATGGGCCCTTGACTGCTGCTTCAGGATGCCATCCCAGAGCACTGGCCACACTTGATCTTAATAGTCTTTCCACATGCATTTTAGAGATTTGGCAAAGAATTAGGCCATTGGTAAAACACTCTGTAGCAAATGCATTGTTCTTAAAGAGGAGTTGCAGGATGACATTTGGAGAGCTGCTCTCTTCCCTCCCGGCCCCCTCATCCCATGGCTCTTCTGAATGCAGTGAGAAAGTCTGCCTGACAGAATTGAGCTCATTCTTTAATGCAGTGATAATCTCCTGTACTATTTACATGTATGTGTTAATATATATGAAGGAATAAAAACGTGCAATTAGATCACATCTTTTAAAATGAATATGCAGTGGGAGAAAGGGAGCTCTCATCCCACTCTTGCAATTAGAATGGGATAGCTTGGAAGGAAAAGTTTTGTATTCCTGCATTCAGAATGGCAGTAAAGATTTGGCCAGCAGGAATGAAGGGCCAACTTTGAACTAGTGTGTAAATGTACGTGCATGGTAAACGTATATACCTCCTCCTTGCACTGATGGTAAGCACTCAAGGACTGCTGTCCTTTATAGGCAAGGTGATCAGAGCTCACTTTGGGAGCTCTGACTCTACACAAAAAAAAATCTCATGGATGAATAGTTTTTACTTTGATTGGAAAGTGCATGCATCTCAGAACAAAGCAGGAATCTTCCTCCTCCTGTTTATCACTCTTGAAAGAAATCATTTTAAGGGTGAACTTGATTATAGGTTATGAATATGTCGCTAGGGATCTGCACCCCTCACCCCCTCACACAGGAGTTAGGCTGAGCAAGCCAGCACTGTTCATCTCTACCCCCAAGCAATTTCATTCATTACTTTTAACAGAAGATCAATTCGAACAAGCACTGTTAAGTGCATTTGAAGTCTATCAGTACATAGACTGGAGTCTGATCCATTGCCTGCCTGCCCACCGGCCTGCCCTCTCCCGACCTAGAAGCTGAGCTGCCTTCCTCTCCCCCACCTGCTTCAGTCCAGTGTATATCAGGGAGATGCATTATGAAGACAGAACACTTGACTTTGAGCTATCAAGAGCAAACAAGCAAGCAGTAACAGGACAGATACAATGCATTTCTGCGTCACTTCCAATTAGCATGCTTCCCTTTGCTAGTGAATTATATCTACAAACATGTGGTGGTGGCAGGTCTGCTGAGCAGAGAGCTTTGGTTTTCACACTTGTTATTGCAAAGGTGTCACTAGTACATGACCCAGGAGTAATGGACTGTCTGTAATCTGCTTGTCCTGGAATAGCTTGAAAGGCGAAAGGACAGTAGCACTGTTTGTACTGCTTTGTGTAAAAAGAAAGAAAGAAAATGAATGACTGAATGGAGACAAAAAAATGCTCACTGTACTTCACCCTATTTGGAAAAAGGACGATGTGATCAGAATGTTGATCCACTGGCATAAGCATCAAAGATGCTTTCACCCTTCTATCCAAAACGTTTGTCTATGAGATTCTGAAAATGTTCCTATTAAGACCTGTCTTTATAATTCCCTGGATCTTTAAAGGGGCATTTTAAGGAAATTATGTGTTGTGAAATTGCAGTGTAATAAACCAGGTTTTAAGATTATCTTGATGGGAAACATAATATCCCTTACTTTTCTTAATATGATAGTTTCACAATTCATTTTACAAAAATCATTAGGATTTTTTATTGATGTGATAGAGCAATATATTCAGCTGTATATATTCAGCACAATATTTGATAAAACAGGATAAATGTCACTGACAAAATGAGGAAATTGTCTTGCATATAAGTGCATTATTCCTTAGGGAGAAAATATAATAACAAAAACATACCTATTAGGCTAATGCAGTTTTGTCCTGTTTTTAAAAAATCACTTCAGCACTGCAAGCATTAACATATCATCTCTTAATTTGTCTCTATCATGTTTGAAATTGATTTGTTATAGTTATGCATATCAGAAGCCTGAAATGATCTGGCTTTCTAACAAAGAGTTCTCTGGTTTTCTTTATATGATCTTGCCTGCCTAGGTGGTATTTGTTTAAGAATGCAGGGAGCTTTCTGTGGCTGCAGTTTCTTCAGAGCTCAGGCAATAATAATTGGCAATAATAATCCAACTCTGATGTACTTTATTTGCAGCCTTTTCCCCAAATGTGTTTAATGTAAGAACACCCAACAGTAGGTAAGAAATACTACAAATGCTTTACTAAATTTAGACAGAAGTAAACTGCCTTTTCAACAGAAGTTTATTCAAAACCGGGGGAATTTGCAACTGAAACACTGGCAACTTCACAGTTCTTTTGTCTAGAACTACTTTGGCTGATTTTAAAACATTTGGTGACAACAAAGTGTGCTTAATTCAGCCATTTTTTCTCTTCTCTCTACGTAGTTTCTGGTTCAATTATATGGAGCCCAGGAGAACAGACTCCAGGGCTGTAACTCCCCTTTTGGGAGAGGAGTGTACAGTGATGCATGTCAGCAAGCTTATTAATTACTAATACTATAAAGTTTGTTTTTGTTTAAGCACAGTTGGCTGCATTATGAAGCCTGAACCCAGCTGGCATTCAGAATCCATGAAGAAGTGGATGAGACTATGTATTGGATATTTCTGGGTATTGTGCAAATGATCTGTGGATCAAACCATGTTGTGAAATAGACAGTGCATGCAGGATCATTTTCATTGGGGATAGAAGACTTTATCTTTTAATTCTCCCTTTTCTGGCAATTGGATCCAGCCAAAGATGGGAGACAACTTCAAGGGTTTGTGTTTGTTTGTCGTTTTGTTTTCTAAACACAGTTTGCTGGGGCTTTAACTGAAATAATGAAATGGCCTTCTGCCGAGGGCCTTACTGGTGCCTCTCTTCTCCATGTCCTGGGAATGTCTAGAAACTGGAGATCGCCTTTTGAGCAATGTCTGCAGTTGTGCACTAGGCAGCTGGAGGTGTGTAATGACCCTCTTCTCCAATGTGATGAGCGAAGGACATGGGTTTAATGTCCTATTTGCCTCATGGTAGTGGCTTCCAAAGATGGCTGGTACCATCAATTTGTATTTCTTAAATAAAATATCTTCTCTTTTCTGGTAAAAAAATTTTGTACAGTGTTTGTTGTGTGCCATGTATCAAAGAAGCATTCATTGTTACATAAGTGGCTGGTAATTTGGTACTGATACAAAGAAACACAGTTTCAATAGCTAAACAGGGAAATCGGATGAGGGGACTTACCATGATGTTACCCTTTTTCCCCTGTAACTTTTATAAAATTAAGGCATCTTCTACACGTACACACAGGTTGTGTGAAGCTTTTTTTACAGGCTCCTTCAGCCAAAGGACAAATCCTTATCCTGTTTGGAATTTTAGTGGACATTTGGTTAACCTTCTCAAGGTGCACTATATATTTATGCTGTACCTCTGTTATGCTGACACTGCAGTAGTTTGTGCAGACATTTTAAAATCTATAGTAAAGCACAAGTCAGTTCTTTGTGAACACCTAAATGAAGTAAGGGTTTCTAAATGAAGCAACATGATTTCCTGAAGTCAGAAATGTGCTGTATAGCGAACGCTATGTATTAAACTGAAAGGAAAAATAAAACCACTTCTGGTTATTTTTCTGCTTTTAAAAATAAAACTGGTACTGGAAATGCCTTGCCTTAAAATACAAGCTCTGTGTCCTTTTTCTCTTAATCTGGAGCTAAACAGCAAAATGTCTCAAGACTATCTTCTTGTGAAATGATGTGATGTTCCTGTAATGCCCCATTATTTGGGTAAATACCAGTATTTTGGTTTTGGTTCCTATTTAGTGTGTTTAGTGTGTGATGGGCAAAAGAAAAGAAACTTCTTAAACTAGTGACATGCCTACATTATATCTAAAATGTAACACTTGAAGTGCATATGCATCAATTTAGAAACACTTTATGTACACAGGATACACATACACCAGGATGTCACAATCAGACTGTACTTCCCCTGTATTTCTCCAGCATTCACCTGAAGAAAAGGTCTGTGTGTTTCTAGTGTTGCAGGCATGTTCTAGTCTTACCAAGTATGTTGATATGTACTACACGGTTACACTCATTGTGCATACAGCCTGGATTCCAGTTTCAGGTGGAACATGCATTTTATGCCTCCTGAAGGGAAAATAAGCTTGCATGTTGATTCTTTAAGAGGATGGAAGGTTAGTCCAGGGGACATTATTATAGCTGCAGTGAAGACCTCCATTTCTCATTTTCTATGGACAGCTGCCTCTTTTACCCCATTGGAGAGGGTAATCAAAGCAGCATCAAAAAGTACCCAGGAAATCCCATCTCTGATCTGTGGAGTTGTAGCTATAGCCTGAATTTGCTCAGTATAAAATATTTGTTATCTATGAAACAGACCTGGGAATTTCCAAGTGTCTCCCTTGGAAAAATCCTCAAGGACACCCATGGGGATGACTATGGACTTTCCTTGAGAACTTGACTGTAGGGGCTAACATCTCTTGCAGTAGTGTAGAAACTGCAAGAGATGTTAGCCTCTAAATGACCACCCTCAACTTCATCAAGTCTTTGTGAGAAGCTAGGTGAGATGAGGCATGAAGGAGAAACAGGAGGAAGCAAGTAGGGCACAGCTGCTATATTTTCCACTAGTTGATCAAGAAAGTCTGCACACTGGCTGCAGCATCAACTAAATCCAACTCCAAAACTTGGCCAAACCAGAACACCACTTCACTGTAAATAGGGCATGTAACTATAATGTGTAAGAGGGCCACCTGAAAAATGGGAGGAGGTTTAAATGATACCTCTCCCAGCACCAGCAGAGCCCTTTGAATCTTGAATCTGTCTTACATTGGTTCTCTCTCCTTGCTGTGTGTCATCTGCAAATTTCATGGGCAACCCCTTTATCCCCTCATCCAACTAATTTATAAATGACAATGCAGCTGATGCATTCCCAACTCCCCTTGGCTGACCAGGCCAACTGCCACTCAGAAGGTTCTCTGGCGCCTCTTACCTGGCCAGACACTGGATTCTGCTCATGACTCACCCGAGTATGGGGAATAAAGCATGTTCATTGAAAGGGTAAAACACAGGGATGGTGAGAGACTAAAAGTCTAGATTTGATAGGGATAAAAATGGGGAAGGAATGGGGAAGTTGGAAAGCAGAAATTTATAAACAACAGCCAACCACACATCGTCCAACCCAGTCGAACCACTTGGACACAGAAAACTACAAAGCTAGCCCTCCCCTGCATTGTACATGTAGTTACGACCTCCTATGCCTTCCCTGCTTCTTCTTCACTGGCTTTTTCATCACTGGCAGCAGGTAGCAGGCTGGAACCCCTGAAGAGGAACAAAGGATCTTCCCCAGTCCCTGACCTTTCCTCCCCCGCAGCATATCAGCTAACCCACAGGGCAATGGCCCATCTCCCAAATGCCTTGGTGCCAACCCCTGCTCCTCGGCTGCCAGTTGTAGAGAACCATCCAGCCACCTCTAACATCCTTGCACTCTCTGCACTGACTGTCAGGATCAGGGCCTGGATGACCCTGCAAGTGCCCACAGAACCAGGAACACCTTTGCGGACACTCGCAAGGAACACCTGAGAAGCAATTACACAGTGCAGCTGGAGACCCTGAAGACCAGCATAACAGGCTTCCCTGCACTCCTGCGCTTTGCCACAGCAACACAAGCTGTCCTGGTGACTCCCTGTGCTCTGGCCCCTGCATCTCTATGCCCTGCTCCAGTCCTGCCTTGCACCCGCCTGTGCCCTTCCCGTTCCCATCCTCCTCTAAGTAGACCTGCCTTGCCCCTGCTGCTCCTACATTGGCTGCTTTGACCTAACAGGAAAATGATCTTAGAATTATTCTGGGACTCTCTCTCCCTGTGTGCATGCATGGTCTGTAACTCACCTCTAGCGCCTGTAAGACTCCAGACTCTGCTTGAACTCTGCTTGGACTGGGCATTCTGCTCCTCCTTGCTGCTGCTCACAGTCCAGTCCTCACACAGATAACATTCCCATGATCTACTACATCTAGTAGTTGAGCAGTCTGTGAACATTTTGGAGATGTTCACAGATGGCTCAATTATCTGTTTGAGAATTTCCCCCAGTATTCACAACATGCTTCCTGGTCTATAGTTTCCTGGATCTGTCTTTCTCTCTTCTTGAAGACAGAGACATTTGCCCATCTCCAGTTTTCCAACAACTCATTGGTTCTCTATGAGTTCTCAAAAGGAGTTACAGTCTCTTGTCTCAGCTCCAGCCACACTTTCTTAAAGGCACTGTCCCTGTGGCAGTCATGGTGCAGGGCCTAGCCTACCACAAAGCAGTTTCCTAACACCAGAATATTTCAAGAACCACATTTTCCCCCATCCTGGACACCATGTGAGTTTGGTTGGGACCCTAATTTAATTTTGTTTTCTACTACCAGGTAAAGTGAGTAAATACCCAGGACAAGACCACATTGTGGTGCCTAGGATGTTAAATGTCCTCTTGAGATAAAGGTACACCCAGCCTCCTCACTGCCTGATTTTATCTTGATTTAATTGATCTTCAGTTGTTTTATGGCTATCATTTTATTTTATGGCTGATTGTGCTTGCTTGTTTTGTGGTTTGTTTGGTTGCATCTTTATCTCTTGTATTACACTAATTTAATAGAAATAGTTTCCTGTAATTTTCATTTTAAAAGGTAAACAAAAAATTAAGAGTGTCTTTGCACAAACCAAATTTTAAGTCTTTGCACAAATCAATCATGTTTGAAGAAACAACTGTGTAGGTGATATACCCTTCCCTATACCAATCAGTGTCTCCTACCCTTAACAATCTGTGATGGTGAGAGAACATTTCATTGAAAGACCACATGGAAACACCCTATCCAGAAGGGCAATGTGATGCAATTTCAAACTACAGTTCCCAAGATGTTGTTTGATACTGCATGCAATGCACAGATGGCATTCTTGAATGAAGGTACAGCTCTTGCCAAGATTTCGCAGATGAATTTGTTATCTGAAGAAATAACAAATCCATTTGGGTATATTAGCCGATAACTGGCGAATAACAGTGCTTCAACCTCAGTTATCTGTTTGCTGTCATTCCTATCTAAACCCTCAAGTGACTGCCTGTACCCCTTCAGGCCATTTTGGTCTCTTTCCCCAATATGAGTAGACACCTCCACTCTCCTCTTTCCTTTCTGGCATCCATTATGCTCTCTGTCCCTTCTTACACACTACACAATGCTTTGTTTCAGCCAGATCGTTTCCTGCCTTCTATCTCCTCTATCCATTTAACCAAATACCAGTTCTGCCTCATCACCATTCATACAATTATGCTGCCTATTTTTATAATCCACTGCATATCTGAATACCTCAATTTCATGTCTGATTGCCTCATGCTCTTTCCCAAAAAGGTGCCCAGATCCCTGCCATGGCACACAAAGGTTTTTGGTTACAGATGTCAACACCTGTCATTCAGGCATAATTATATAAGTTGATGTGCAAGTGTAAACAAGGACATGTGAAAGCAGTGCAACACGGAACAAAATTCTAAAATAATACAGGAGGTTATGTGGCACTTTGGGCTAATTACTGAATGGTACATAGAAGGATATTGAATATTGATGAGTCTGGGCAGGTAATTCATTTTGCCCTTATCTTGCCCTTTTCAAACAGAAAGGGTAGAACATTTAGCACACCTGGGCTTCCAGGGAACCTAAAGCCGGTGGGATGCTACAGCGCCTGCATCCCATCCTGCCAAAGAGATGACCAACCTGGGAGTTGGCAGGAGCTTGCTTCCCCCTCCCCACAAGAAAATGTTACCCCCCTGGAACTGCAGAGGGACGAATGCAGCACCCTGCCCCATCCATCAGCCTAAGGAATAAGAACCTCATTCAAGCAAGAATGCCGGCAAGGAAAGATCAGCCTGGCCTGAAACGCATTTGAGTGCCTTCTCTCGCCACCTTGTTCGGGCCTTGAAATTGTGATCCCCCCTCTGCTCCCCTTTCCTTGGGTCTCATTGTTTTAGTTTAGTTTTCTGATGCCAAGGCCTGTCTTTTCCTCTAATGTGAGCTACTTTGGGGGACAATAATTGTCTGAAAAGCAGGGTCAAAATGCAGTAAATAAATAAAAACATTTATATAACTCAGCATATATTCTGTTATTTTTCACTGCTCTCTTGGGATCACTTTGAACATGTTGCAGTTTTTTCATTCATGTTCCTTTATGATACATTTTGTTTGTGTGTTCTAATTTTCCAGCTACAGGGGACACAGCACTAAAGCTTGGTTAAATCAGTATCTTCTTCAGATTCAGCCTCACTTGTCATCTGTTTCTTCAGCTTCCCTTTTGCCTTCCTCTGTTGTCTGTCAATGCAGAAGATGGTGAACATCTTGAACTCCTTGTAGTTCAGTTGCTAAAGATGGAAGGAAAACATAATAGTATTTTGGGGAAATGATGGTGGCTAGTTTAAAAAGCAGTACCTGTGGAAGAGCTTTTTAGCTCTTTTAAGAAGGTGGCTTCTAGCTTTCATAGAGCCCACACACACACCAATTTCAGTCTTCTGCTGTCCTCACTGCTCTTGAAACTCACTTCAGAATACTAGATGAGAGTTATCAGAATAAATCCCTCGAGCAGGTTCCAATGGGGTGTTGCATTCCCACCTACTCCATCAGCAAGCAGGACCAACAGCTATAAAGTGCGAATTTAGTACTACATGGAACAAACCCTGCAACAAGCAGAAACACTCATTTTTGGAATGGGACAGGTTGGTAGAGCTCTGTTATAACTGCACCATTAAAGAAATTAATGTTTCCACTCATTTCTGGAGCCTGTCCAAAGAGCTAACTCTCCATTGTGCGAGCAATAGGTTTTGCTAGTGTTTGGGTGGTGTTGGATATTGTCCCTTCTAACTAAAGAGAGATGCTCACTCTATGTTTTTATACAGAATATCTTGGCCACTGGTTATAACTTCTACCTAAGTGCCTCCTGGAACCAGAGGTTTGAGGTGTATCAGTGGTCCATCATTAGTGGTGGCAACAATTAGATTACTTCTAGCAGTGAATTGTGCCCTTCCGACCCTAGAACAATTGTGGTATTTGTGGAGGATAGGTTTTTAAATGAGTGTCTTATATTTTATGTAGTGATCTCCAAACATTGGCAGAGAGTGTTGATGGAATCTTAGAAGGATATTGATTTCTTTTTCTTCCAAGGAAGTTCTTCCAAGGTCTGCTAACCTGATCTTCCTTTCCCCTGCTGCTTTTCTTCTCTTCATTTTCTCTCCTTCTTCTGTGTTTGTAAATGTATTGAAGCAACCGCTGGCTATAGTCCTAAAAACAATTTCTTAGAAGCTAACCTACTAAACCTAATAGGTGGGATAACTCTGGTATATTGAGGGCACCTGGGGATGGACAGCCATAGAGACATATTACAACAAGAAGGAAGATGGCTGTGCACCCCACAGGCTGAGGCAGTTGTCCAGCTTGACTTTTCATAGCCATTATGAGCTGCTTTGTCAAATCAACAAGTGGACATGCTTTGGCATGTTTCTGCATGAATCCTGGATAAGGGATGAGTGCAAAGGTTACTGTGTGCGGGGCGGGACTTGAGCTTTCATTGGATGCTGCCAAGCCAAGGAAGAGGGAGGCAGCATGGCTCTCAGGATGCTGCAGAGCATTCACATGGACATCAATCAGACTGAGTACTTCTGGAGTTAGAAAGGGTGGTGTGCCTTCTACAGTGAAGAATTGCAAGACAGAAGCATGAAAAAGTGCATGCATGGCTCTAGGAAAAAACAGCCACCATCTTAGGCCAGGTCTATTCAGGCTAATGAAACCCAGAGATGTATGAAGCTGAGAAAACATGTCAGGGGAAGGAGGTGGACACAAGGACAAACACTTTTTAGTCTTTTCCTTTTGTTACCTCATCGCCAGAGATGTCAAAGTCTTTGAATATCTGGCTCAGCTCGCTCTTCCTAATGTTGAAGAGGAAGCGAGTGGCTTGGAACTCTGCCGGGCCCACCGTGTGTCCTCCATCAATGTCCAGCAGCTCGAAAACAGGGTGTGAGTGGCGATACATGAACTGCTTTTCAAGGTGATTCTGGTTCAAGAAAGAAAGGTGAGGGTTGCTGTTGATACCTTTTCCCTGGAAAAGGAACTCTTGCTCTGACTTTGTATTCTTCGTATTCGCCGGTTCTACTGGACTCATTCTGATCCAGATCTAATGCAGAATTCCCCAAATCTATACCCTCCAGGTGTGTTGGACTACACCTCCCGACTTTTTTGGCCACTGGCTATGCTGGCTGGCTTATCAGAGTTGCAATCTCAAAAACTGCACCAGGTTGGAGAAGGCTAACAAAAGGTATAATTGAGGATACATTATCCAGAGGACCCCAGACCTTGGAGTTGGTAATGCCTGCTGATAATACTGTGGGGAGGAGTTGTTCATTTCCCACCCCACCCCACTACTACCATTTGGGGCAAACTCTCACTGTTGGAACACAGCAACAAATGAATGAATGAAAAATCCAGTGAAGATAAATCCCCTTGTAATGAAGAAATGAATGTCAGATATTTGTCCATTTCAGATACTCTTCAGTCTGAATGAGCTACCTGTTTCTCTTTAGGGAAAAGTCAATGTCAGAATTAATCTCATTTCTGCCAACCTCAAGTTAAACTGAATGCCAGGCTATCTAGCTGGCTTGGTTTTGCCCATAATGAGAATAATGAGAAACTATCATAGCATACAAGTCACATGGGTTTTTTTCCCTCATGAGTACACAGTAAAGGAAATTGGTAGGACCCTTAGAAGGTTTGGAAAGAGTCATAGGGGTGTCAGGCATAAGTTCCTGAGCCCTTCCCAGCCTCGAAATACAATCTCCCATAAAATCACTTAAATGCCTCCTTTGGTTCCAACCAGGGTGACATGTGATCAGGTTTCACAGTAAAATGTAAACATACTGATTTTCCAGGTTAGTAACTTTCCAGTTGCTAAACTGTATTGGCAAACATCCAACAAGGCAGAGCCAAGACAGATACAAAGCCAGAGGCATTGTTTTATTGCCTAGTCTAAATAGTCTGTATGATGAGGATGGGGATTTGCTTTATAGCCTCCTTTTCACCCTCTTGCAAGGAACACATGGTGGCTTCCATGGAGGTCCTTTCTCCTCTCCATTCTGTCTTCACAACAACCACCCTGTGAGGCAAGTCAGGCTGGCTCAAAGTCACCCAGCGAGCTCCATGACTGGAGAGGGGAGCAGGGGAACTAGAGCGTGGCTCCCCAAGTCCCAGGCCAGCACTCCAACCGTGACACCAGCTGCCTGTTGATGCCTTTCTCCCTCTGTGTGTACCAATGAAAAATTCTTTAAGCATGTGCATTTCTGTAAGATCCATATCCCATTCATGTCCCTCAATCGGCTTTCCCAACCTAGCGACTCCCCAGTGTTTGGGAACTTCAGTTCTTATCAGCCACTGGTAGCGGTTGTAGTTCGAATAATCTGGACAGCACAATCAAGGAATGATCTGCAACAGACATGTGGACCAGCGTGTGATTGGGGAAGACCCTGGGAGTGGGGGATACTGGACCTGGAATGCCCAGTACCCTTGCCTATGCAACCTCTCCAAAGCCACTTCCTATCTTGGCACCAAAATAACACACAGGGACTGGAGGCAGTGAAGAATTGCCCCAAGCAGACATGTTGGTCTGAAGACCCCACAAGGCAGCAGGTTCCTGGCAAGCATGTAAAAGATCAACTCTCTGTCCTGCATGCCCACTTTACTTTTCTCTCCAGCATTTTGCTTTGAACAGAACTGATATCTTGCTCCTAATGAGTCACAGCACTTTGGAACACAGATTTATTTTCGTAAAAGCAATGGCTATGCATCCCTGTTGCACAAAATAAGAGGCAGCCTTTCAAAATACCTTCCTTCTGTTTTCATTATGTTGGTATCCTATAGCCAATGATGCACCTGAACCAGATGGGCACTTTTGGCTATAACATTCCTACTTGCACAAATCAGGGTTTATGAGACTGGGAATGAACATCGGGCCTACATCTGACACCTGTCCCCTTTTGCACAGAGGTTCTGGGGCAAAGATCCTAGTTTTAGGGTGGGATGCTGTGCTGTACCTAACTTGAATTCTATTCATTTCAGCGGACCAACACTAGATACAACCCTCTCATTTAGAGGCTATTTACTAACTAGGATCTTAAGCAACAATCTGATCCGAATTAGTAAACGATATTAAAGTAAAACAAAACACTCTGGTTTAACCAAACCAGATCTCCATGGTGAAGCTGGCACATGAGGGAGTATGCTGGGGAAGTGGAGAGATAAAGGGGGAATGCACAGACCTGATCCTCGTTCCTCTCCTCATAAACCAGGGTTTAGTCAAGCTGGGAACTTTACATCTCAGCCAGTCCATTATAATGATTTGGGGCTGGATGGTTTTGCTCCTCTGTGCAAGGTGGCATGTGTATTCTCTCTAGCTGCAGCCCAGACACCCCTCCATATTCTGTTTATTCTTCTGTATCGAATTGGAACCCAATTCAGCGAAATGCAACTCTTAAGAGAGATAATATTGTATTCAGTGCGGTCCGCCTGCCAGAGGAATGAAATCAGCAGCAGCAGCGCTCTTCAGAGTGTGCCGAGTGGAGAGGGGTTGTTCCCACACCTCCCGTAAAGGAAGAAAAAAGAAACTGGTTAAAATGGTTACTTCCATCTTTGCCTCAGTTCCAACATACTGGGTCGAGATGGTTCACGGGAGAGAGGCCACCTTTATTTTTGAGACACACGTGCAAATACTGCACACATGTGGAAGTGACCTTTCCCACGCAAGAACACGGAGAAGACTTTAGGGTGGGCAATGGTCCAACACTTCCTGCAACTGGACAGAACTTCCAAAAAAGAGAAGGAGTACCCACTTCACAGCAGCAGCAGCTAATGAGAGGAACTTCCGTTGGGATGGATCCCTCCTCCCCAGGTGCCCCCACACACGGCTGCTATAGAGTAGCGGGACAGTCTCACTCATATTTGGGGGAACATGGAGTTCCGGGGGAGAAGAGAGTAAGAGGAAGGGCCACTGCACGAGTGGAAATCAGTGCAGCTGACAGTGGATGGGGTCCGCCCCAGAAGGTGGTGCTTCTTTTGCCACCACAACCACCTCACCCATCAGGAAAGGAGGTGCACCTGCCTCATGAGACATTATGATGCACACCAGCATGTAGAACTCATCAAAGCCAATCTCTCCTTTGGCGTCCCAATCCAGCAAGTCAAACACCAGCATGACTTGATCAGAAGACAGGTCCGTTACGTAGTGAAGAAAGTGGTAAAACTGCAGATCTGAAAAAGAATGCCATGTTAGGCCCAGTCCAGTCAAAATACCGCGTTAGTAGGATTTCCTGTGCAAGACTATATTTGGGCTGGTTTGCTAAACAAGTCCTAATCAATAAACAGAGAAAAACATTCCTTAACAGATGAGACAAATGGTTCTCCTCAGCAGAGGCCAGTGCAACAAAATCATCTCAGATATTTTCCCATCTTTTGCCCAACAGCTGCTTCTCCACTGCCTCACACCAGCCCTTCTACTCTCTCTCCTCCCCACTCCACCCCTCAAAATAAATGTCACTGATACATGAAAATCTCCTTTCCCATTCAGGATGAATTTAAATGCAAAAATTTGGTTTGTGTTACTTGGAAAAAGATCTACTGTCAGTTCCTTTGCCTGATATAGCCCAAATCAGGCTTACATCCTTATATGCCCAGCCGCCCCCTGAGATCGGCGGGAGAGGCCCTTCTCCGGGAGCCCTCCATGGAAGAAGTTAGGAGGGTGGTTACTCGGAGGAGGGCTTTCTCAGCGGTGGCGCCTAAGTTATGGAATGCGCTCCCCAGAGAGGTCCGCCTGGCGCCGTCGTTATTTGTTTTTCGGCGCCAGGCGAAGACCTTTTTATTTAAGCAGTATTTTAAATGTTAATATTATTGAATTTTATTTGGCCAGGGCGGCTTGTTTTATAGTGTATGTTTTATATTATATATTTGTATTTTATTGTATATATTTTAAAATGTTATTTAATTTTTTTTGTTGTAAGCCGCCCCGAGGCTTCGGCGAATGGGGCGGCATAAAAATGTTTTAATAAATAAAATAAATAAATAAATAAATGAGATTTCAATTTCAATAGTCTGGCAGTATTCAAATTACAGACACATCGGAAGGAGATACGTGGAAAGATTTGGGGAATTATAAAATCATAGAACAGGAGAGTTGGAAGGGGCCAGAAGGCCACTGGATCCAACCCCCTGTTCAGGGCAAAACACCCAGTCAAACCATCTGCCAGCTGGCTGCCCAGTTGCATCCTGAATGCCTCTAGTGTAAGAGAGCCTACAGCCTCCCTAGACCACTGGGTTCCATTGTCATGCTGCTCTAACAGTCAGGAAATGTTTCCTGATGACTAGCAGGGATCTGGCTTCCTGTTACTTGAGTCTGTTGTTCCATGTCCTGCACTTTAGGTGATAGAGGAGAACCTGGCCCACTTCTGTGTGACAGACATTCAAGTATTTGAAAAGTGCTATCCTATCTCTCATCAGTCTTCTCTTCTCAAGGTTCAACATGCCCAGTTCTTTCAATCTCTCCTTGTATTGCTTTGTTTCCAGTGCCTGGATCATCCTTGTTGCCCTTCTCTGAGATCTTTCCAGCTGGATTGTACTGTGGTGCCCAGAACTGGACACAGTACTCCAGATGAGGCCTAACCAGTGCTGAGTAAAGGGGAAATAGTATTTCACATGACTTAGAAGTGGTACTTCTGTTAATGCAGCTTAAAAGAGCATTTGCCCTTTTTGCAGCCATATCACATTAACTCATATTCAGCTTGTGATCTACAAAAATTCCAAGATCCTTCTCACTTACAGTATTATTCAGCCAAGTATTCCCCATCTCGTAACAGCACACTGGGTTTCTTTTTCCTAGCTGCAGAACTTGGCATTTGTCCCTATTAAATGTAATTCTGTTGTTTTCAGCCCAACATTCCAACCTATCAAGAACACCTTGCATCTTCTTTCTGTCTTCCAGGGTATTAATTGGACCTCACTTTTTGTGATCTTCAAAGTGATTGCCAGTAACAGCCTGTTCAAAGTGCCAAAGCAGCATTCTTTTTTCTTTTTCTTTTTTAAAGAAAAGGAAAAAGAATTGTGCCCAAAATGTGCACAAATTTGGGACATTTTTGTCAGATTTTCAAAGGTGCACAATTGTACAATTCTGACTATCCCAAATATACAGTCTTCACTCAACACTACTCTGAATGGTATCTCCATCTGTGGACATCGATAAAGAAAGACTTACACATAAATTAATTTTCACCAGAGAGCTTCAACTATTGGGTGCCATAAAAATCATCATCATCATCATCGTTATCATCATCATCTGACAGCTGGCAAGCAATGAACTGTCATGTGGGAAGCAAAGCCATAACAGGATCTTTGCTGGCAAAATGGGAAGGCAGCAAGTCCACCATTTCATGGTACGATCTAGTTTTGCCTTGGGTGCCCCGGGGGATGGCCTTTGGTGGGAGAGAGACTCACTAGAGTTACTGGTGGACTTGGTGACTAGGAACACCTTCTTTCCTCTTAGGCTGATTTACCAGCTATGACCCTATCTGGACATGCAGACCCTAACAACAGTGATCCATGCTCTGGTAACCTCTCATTTGGACTATTGTAACACAGTCTGCTGTGGCTGCCTTTGGAAATGGGCTGGAGACTTCAATTGGTTCAAAACAGAGCAGCAAGGCTGTTAAGAGGGACTGGCCAACATGAACACAACACACCAGTCCTCTATCAGTTACATTGGTTACCAATTGAAGACTAGGCCTGATTCAGAGTGCTAACATTAACCTTGAAAGCCCTAAATGGTTTGGGACCAGGTTTTATATTTATATTTATTTATATTTTGATTTATATCCTGCCTTTTTCCTACAAAGGCCTCAAGGCAGCTTACATCTCCTCCTCCATCTTATCCCCACAACAACAACCCTGTGAGGTAGGTTGGGCTGAGAGTCTGTGACTGGCCCAAAGTCACCCAGTTGGCTCCATGGCTGAGCGGGGACTAGAACCCAGATCCTCTGAGTCCCAGTCCCATGCTCTTAACCACTACACCACACTGGCTCTCTGAGGGAATGCCTCCTTTCATATGTGCCAGCCCAAACCCTGAGATCATCATCAGAGGTTCTTCTCAGAGATTCCCATCTAAAGGAAACAAGGAGAGAGGCTATCAGGGGAAGGACCTTCTTCGTTGTGGCTCCACATTCGTGAAATCAGCCCCGTCAAAGAGGTGCACCTGGTACCCACGCTTGGCTCCTTTCAGCTCTCATTTTAAAGAGCAGTTTTAGTTTTGATTGCTATCTAAACCCCATTCTCTTATAAATAAGGCATCTTGCACATTTTAACTTTCCCAAGCACTGAGAGATTAGAGATAGGATGGGCAAAACAGTGACATCTGCTCCAGTGTGCTCCTTGGGCACTTTGAAAGGGCTTTCACTGGATGTCACTTCAGTTATCATGAAAATACATCTCCAGAAAAGGGTGGGGACCGCAAGAGGAGCCATGGTCAGTCCAGGAAAACTGAGCTATTTTAATCTCTGCACTTGTGAAGTGGCTCTCACTGGTAGCAGCTCAGGTGAGCTCAGCAAGAAGGCGGGGGGGGGGGGGGGTTGCCATTCTTGCCAAACAAACTTGCTTACTGTTTCATTGTACCATTGATGGGGTCTATCAGCTGGGTTTGGACAAGACAACAATCAATAGAGGGCACAACAACCCCTAGAACAAGCCATGGGCTGTCAAGGTGGCTTGTCACGCACAAACAAGTCCCCCAGTGATAAGAAGTATGGCTTCATATGACACAACACTGCACGACAGTCATTTGAGTGGGATGGTTTAAATTGGTGTCCTGCAACCGCAGGGGGTTGTACCTGATGGCCTTCATGGCCCCTTCCAACTCTACTAGTCTATGATTCCATGAACAGCTTAGCACAGCTAGTTACCCCGCAATGAGTTGCTGTCCAAAGCCAGTTATGGTCTCTTCCGGCAGGACTCCTTAGATCCTTACCTAAACTACACTATTCAACTGTACAATGAATCTGGGCTCCATGTGCAAAGTCATTCTTCAAGCTTGGTATTTTCAGCTCCCACCAAATTCCCCTGCATCCAGTCAATCAGGCTGAAAAACAACCTGGTCTTTCTGATCTGAGCAGCAGCAACTGGATGAATATGGACAGAGAACATGCAGGAGTTTTAGTTCACATTTTTGTGGCCTAGATTTAGCAGCTCCTACTGCACTTACCATTCAAAGCCTGCTTTTTATGAACATCAAGTAGATTAAAGTAGTATGACAGTGCTCTAGCATTTCTGACTGATAATAAACAGTATATTCTATCTAAGCACAGAAAATGCAGAAAACACTGTGGCCTCAGTTTCATCTTGCTGCTAGTGAATTCTGTTGACTTGTGGAACTTTGGGGTAGTCAAGGTGATGCCTGCCTCACAGGCAAACCATTCCAGCTCGGAATCAAAACAAGATTCCTGGACCTGATCTGAATGTGTTCAAAACTGGTCTTTTCTGCCAGGAAGGAACTGGGATAGGATAAAAGTTAACATACCACAGAACTGGGTAAAAGATATAGTCTCTCTTGATTTAGTTCACTTATTGCTATTTTTGACATCATATTGAAATCAGTATGATTAAGCACTGAACTATGAACTTTAATTTCCATAAATAGCTGGGTTCTTTCTTTCCTCCCTTCTTTTCTTATTCCTTTCCATTATTCAGTCCAGTTTTAGGATTTCCTGGCCCCATCCATGAAGTGTCCAAGTTTAATTTTTAACAGGAGTGGGTTTATTTTTAGAATTCCCTTGTGAGTCTTCTGATTATAGATGTAATGATGTCTTAAAATCTGATATTTCACACTAAAGCATACATTGCAAAAAGGAGAGAAGTCAGAATTTGAAAATGGAAGATAATTGGATTCTGCACTTAGCCTTACCAACTCTGTCCCTTTTATAGGGAATGATTGAGGATGTCAAGTGATTCCCCCCATCCCTCAAGCAAAGTGATTTGCATCCAAGCAATAAATCCTGTAATCCCAAGTACTTCCTCTAGATGTCTCTATTGATTAATTAGCTTACATTTATAGTTACATGTATAATAAGCAACAGCAGTTCTACTTCTGTGCAAAGGCTTCCATGGATAATGCAGCCCTCCCCAACCTGATACCCTCCAGCTGTGTTGGACTCCAGTTCCTCTAATCCTCAACACATCTGGAGGACACCAGGTTGAGGAAGGTCAGAATAGGGAGTTGCTTGAAGAAATAGGGAATCTGCTTGTGGGGAAGGCACACTTTGGACTACACCTCTCCTGAATCCCTGACTATTGGCTATCCTGTACAGGGTGTATGGGAATTCTAGTTCAAAACATTCAGGGGGCACTGCACCAGATTGTCTTCCCTGTACAGAACAGGTTTCTATACATTACCTCTGCGCAATTAGCTGCCCAGCTGTAGGTTTGCAAGCCCCATTGTGACATCAGAGCTATTAAGCCAATGGCAACCATATTTCAGGTCCTGAGATCACAGCACGGTTGTTAAGCCAACATGCCAAAGTGGTGCAGCAGGGCCAGGACTTGCTGGACTGAAGCCAAGATTGCTTAATCAGGGGCTATGATGGCATCGTCTGCCACCCTGTCAGGCCTCCCAGTTCCCTTTGAGGTGAGTTGCAATTCACAAGAGCAGGGAACAAATTTCCCCAACAAGAATATAATGCTGTGGATTACGTGTGTGGTATTTTGGGGTGGCTTAGTCTTGAATGGGTAATTAACACTCATTAGATTTACAAAAGACCAGCTCCTGATGGAGGTGAAAGTTGCTAGAACTGGTATGTTGAGATGGATTAGTACTACTGCATTAATTTCTGGACTCTCCTTGGGCCAGGCAGTGAGGACAGGTGTGATGAATACCTGCACTTCAAAATGTATCACCACAAAACTGTGTGACAGAGTTACAGAGACTCACCTTGCTATCCAGGCAATTGGGTCAAAAGAGGCAGGGAAGACCTCCCATGACATTAGGTAAAAGCTCTGCCTCCGGTAGAAGCAGGGGGCAGGGAGTGACAAATGACATGCTCCCCACTCCCCTGGGGAGAATGCTTCAGAGAGTCCTGCCAGGCATTCTTCTGCTGTGGCTGGTGGGACTTACGAAGCTGCCACCCAGCTGGAGTACCCACACTGGTGCCACCTGGGTGATTGGCAGCTCTTGAAAGCCCTGCTGGCCCATCTCTCCCCCTGTGACAGAAGAGCTGCCAGTGGAACTCTCTGGAGTATCCACACATCTTCTGGCTTGCTCTGAGAATCTCGGAGCAAGCCAGGGAAGGGAGGTCTCTCTGTAAAAACATCTTAGTCCACAAAAGCTCTAGCACATCTCTTAATAGAGACAGCCAGATGCAAGGGCCCAGCTCAGAAGAAATCCTTCCTCGGGACCAGGCACTCCCTGGTCCAGAGGAAGGATTGATGTCCCAGCAAAGCACCTGTGCCATGCTACGGTTTATCTCTTGGGACACCCCTCTCCTCAGAGGAAGGACCGCCTCCAAGCCAGGTGCTTGCACCTGGCCATGGCCAGCTCTCAGAAGAACTGCTCAGAGTGGCCAGCATGGAGCGAGGGGTGGGGGTGCCAGGTGATGACAGCAGGTGAGTGGGAAAGCAGCAGGAGAGGTGGTGCTGGTATAGAGGCTTAGCAACCGCAGCAGAAAAAGAACAGCAGACCAGGAGGATTCTGCAAGACTTTAAATGAGAGGGTCAGCAGCTCTCGTTATTGGCTACAGTTGTGACTTACCAGTTAGCTGCTTCTGTGTTTAACCCTTAATACAAACCATTAGTGGCACTGGTGGATAATAATGGCTTCTTCTCTCTCTCTCTCTCTCGTGTATCTTTTCATCCTTTTGCAAAGCAAGCTTGAATAATTTAAAGCTGGACACATTTTGGCTACTTTTAAGTCAGGTAAGACATGGTATTCTATATATATTCAGCTAATTTGGTGTAAGTTGTTGCTGCCTATCTACAGAGCGTGTAAAATGTATAACATTATCCCAGGGCTTGTCTATCTGGAGGTCCTAACCCACTGTTTTGCTAAGGGCAGAAGGCAAATGCATCCTTCACGTGGATTTTCTTTCCCTCGGGTGTTTCCCTGCCTTTCTACTAGTGAAGCAGAAGGTGGCAGTGTGGTACAGTCGCACGGTGGCGGATTTGCACTTCTTAGGTTTTTGTTTCGGTTTCTTGAGATAGGAACTTTTCTTCCTCTTAAAAATAGCAAGAGCCTGAAAACACGATAGCATTCCTGGAAGCCGGCGACGACATAAAAAGACCCCGCAAACTTTCGTAGATGAGGTATTACAAATGCCTCGTGTAGACAAGCTCGAGTTCTTCAACTCTGCAGGGCTGTTAGTAGTCCTATGGGTGTATATTAAACCCTAGAGCCAGGCTAATCAGGGCATAGTTCGCATTTGCACGTTGCTATTCATCGTAGCCAGTCTGTGCTTGAGAACCGGAAATGGAGGATCTGCACCTGACTGAGGCTCTCCTCCCGCGAGTGGTTCTAGGGGGCGTTAAAACTGAAACCATCTTATCCCTCGTTAGAGCCCAGTTTGAATGCCTGCAACCCTTTCTCTTCTTCCGCCATTATCTTAAAACTGCAGCCCGCTTTTTGCAAGATCTCGGCTGATGAAGAGCTTTGGAGATGTCGAATGCTTGCACAATGTTGTGTGTGTGTTGGTTTAAGTAAAACTAGGGTATTACACCAATATGAATTAGTAAATTTCTTTTCGCATACGATTGTGGCATTTTCCATCCACTGCTTCCTGGGACAATTAAGATAACAACACTTCTAAATGCTTGATTAGGAGCGCGATCCTTTATGTGCCTCCTCAGGGTCCCGTTGAGTTTAATGGACATTACTGCCAGATAAATGTGTATTCCTAACTTAGCTTTCGCCTTTTCGTCCCATCCGAAAGTTCGCTGACTCATGAGTCAACGTCGCCGGAAAATATTTGGAGCTCCGTTACAAATGGCTGGGTGGCAGGGATTTCCCCCTTCCTGAACTGACTGACCCCTCGTCTTCCCCAACCGAAACAATTAGAAGGCTAAGGAAATCCAAAACTACACTTCCCTTGTCCCCTTGCGGGGGCGTTTGGAGTAGCAACGACGATAAAAGGGTCGCACAGGGGCGGGTTCATACGACCCGCGGCGGGGTGGGGGGGGGGACTGCGGATTCAGCGGGATGACTGTTTTGGGGCCGGGCCGGGGCGGAGCCACCCAGTGCCTGATCGGGGCGGGGCGGGGCTGCCCGGGAGAAGGTGGCTCTTATCTGATGGAGCAGGTGAAGCGGCGGCGGCGCTGCTGAGCGCTCCATGTGTTCGGGCTGGGCTGCTGCGCCGATCTCGCCTGCCTGAAACGTAGCAGCCCTGGCGAGCCACGTCTCCGCGCCACCGGCTCTTCTTGGAGGCACTTTCAGCTGCCCTGTGAGAGCTCGCCAGGGCTCTTGCCTCGCGCGGTGGATTCCGAGGGAGGCAAGCGCGCTTGTTAGGCGAGGCTTTTTCCCCCCAGCTTGCATCTACCAGAAAAGGCTCGGGCTCTTTCCCTCGTCTGCGCTGGGTCTCCTTCGCCCGCTGCACTAGCTGCTCCCCTTCCAGCAGGCTCCAGCGGACTAGCCCCTTGGTGGGCGCTCGTAATTCCTCGTGTACGGAGGACGCGCTGCGCCTGTTTTGCTGTACCCCTCCCGCCCGGCTTATGGTGGGAGCCTGGGAGCCTAGCCCAGGGCAGAGCCATGGCCTTCGCCAATTTTCGCCGCATCTTGCGCCTCTCCACCTTCGAGAAGCGGCGATCCAAGGAGTATGAGCATGTGCGCCGGGACGTGGACCCCAACGAAGTGTGGGAGATCGTCGGGGAGCTGGGTGACGGCGCCTTCGGCAAGGTGTACAAGGTGAGCGGGGGCGGGGGCGGGGGCGGGGGCGGGGGCGGCGCGCCTTCCCTGCGCGTGCTCTGGGTGCAGCGCGGGTTTCGCGAGGCGCTGCCGCGGGACGAGCGCGGCGGAACTCGGACTCGGCGTCGCGCCTGTTGGCGGGGAGCTGAAGGGAACCACACCTGAACGGGGGTTCCAAGAGAAGTCCTGTGCGCCTCAGTTCTGCATTGCTTCTGTCGATCGTAAAAACAAGAGCACTTTTCCCTCCCACCCCAACAGAAGGGGCTGTCTGTTCACTGAAGTAATGCGGGGATATGCCCAAATTCTTCCTGGTCTGGTTTGCCACACGATAAGTAGTAATCCCCTCCCCCTTGCGGTGGACAGAAGTGTTCTGGAGGAAGGAAATCGCTTGCCCGGTTCCCGCAATGCTGCATCCTAACAAGGGGGTATGGTCGTCCCCTTTAAAGAGAAGCCCCTCTTTCCGTCTCTTCCTCATTTCTAACTTCTCTGCAAGGATCTGCCCACTGAGAAACGTTAAAATTGCTGTAGGTGTGACCTGAACGCGTGCATTTCTACTGGAACTTTTCAACTGGATGCAAATCTGACCCTCTGAGCGCCTCTTACCCTTTTGCTTCTCATTGTAGGAAGTGGATGGATCCTGTCTACCCAGTTCAAACTTTGTAGCCTATGAGTGAGGCACATGCGCACAGCGAGGCAGTGGGCAGTTCATAGCCCTTCAGATGATTTGACCCACAACTTCCATCATCCTGCTCACTGTGCTGGGCAACAGGAGGTGTCGGGTAGTGGGCTACAGGTTGCCCACCTATAGTGCATAAGCACTTGGCATATTTACAAATGTATATATGATTTCTGTCTAACAAGCATAGAAAGCCTGAAAGTGAGGACTGGAAAGCCCTGCTAGATCCCTCCAAGGACTGGCTTCACAGCAGAAACCCACAAGAGCATGGGTCCTCAAACTACGGACTGGGGGCCGGATCCGGCCCACCATGCCCATTTGGATCCGCTGTGCATGCGCCTGCCACCGCCCACCTCGCCCGCGTGTGGGGAGGCAGTGGTTTGCTTGCTTGGAGAAAACTATCTCCAAGCAAGCAAGCAAGCTGCTGCCTCGTGCACCCGCCTCGCTGCACATGCCCACCCGCACCTCACCTCGCCTCAGCGCGCGCACCTTGCCCCCACCTCAGCGCGCCTGCACACACCGCTGGCACCGCCTTTCCTACCCGCGCCCAGCACCGGCAGCTTTCAGCTGGCCCCCTGGTGGAAAAGTTCGAGGACCCCTGCATAAGAGGAATACAGGGGAGCCGCCCACATTTCTACCTTCTCCCACTTTTCTTCTCCGGCAGCTGGTAACTTAAGGCACACTCCCTCTACTGCTAGTGATGGTGTGTAGCCATCAAGCATAGTTGCCATTAATAACAACTATTAACTTTGAATTCAAATCTGATGTTCCAGAATTTGAATTTCTGCACCCAGAGCTGAGTGAAGTACAAGAGGAGAGGATCGCATCCTACTTCCATTTGGTTACCAGCCATGTGGGAGCTGTATCGGACAGTGAGGGGCGAAAGAATATTCTCTGCTCTGTGTGCATGGTCCCGTGTCAGGGCAGGGGCACCAGAACAGGGGTCAGCCCAGTATATTTTAGCAAGCCACTTCAAGGTTTGTGTCCTTTGAACAGATATATGCATTGAATGCATTAACAGTCACCACCATGTAGACTTGCTCAGCTGAATTGATTCACTGGGTCTGCTTCATGATATGGGGCAGCTGCATTTGTGAAATGGCAAGGAGATGTTATGGGGATAAGCTGCTGCCTAAACTGGTTGTTGGCACTTTATAGATGAAAAAACACACAACGTTTTTTCCCGTACTCTTTGCTAACTTCCAAGTTCAGACATGGAATAGCTTCTGTGGTTAAATCTAGCATTGTCTTTGGTGTTTGCCAGGGAAAAGGTCAAGGGGAACCTGAATTAACTCTGCACATCTCATTAGTGATTGTGATCAGAAAGTATTGAAAGAACAGGCAGGCTTGTTGCCCATGGGAGGATCCTGCTAGGCTAAGGAAAGGCTTTTGAGAATCCATGGTGGAAGTTGAAGTTATCTGAGACACAGCAAGGTGGTGATGCTGGATGGATGAAACCCTGGATGATGTTTGCCAAAATCCTAGATCAGCATTCTCAAATCTGGTGCTTTCCAGATGTGTTAGGCTACAGTTCTCACTGTCTGCGCTGGCTGGCCAGTGGGGGAATTGTAGGCCAGTACATCTGGAGGGCTGGAGAAGGCTAGCTGCAACAATGTGCAATCTTTCAAAAGGCTGATATTATTACAGCACTGCATTGTAATCTTCATTTATCAGTACCTGTGCTGACTACACACAATGCGATGTTAGGAATACTTGAGATCTTACACTATCTGGGGCCATATGATGAATGCAACTCCAGCACTTTAGAAGACAAGCCGCCTGAAGCAGAGAAGGATAAACCGAGGAGTCTCATTAAATCCAGTAACGAGCAGCATTTCCCAGCATGATGCAGAGGAGGAGTATGATAAATGGATGATTGCTGACAAAGGAAAATGCTGAACTTGCATAGTTAGTAAAGGCAGCATAGAGGATGCCATTGTAAAACTGAGAAGTTGTTGCAACTGGAAAGTATTTCTCTTTGTCCTGTTGTCAGTCAGTTCTGGTATCTTTTGGAAGTGGTGGACATGAACAGACTTTGCTGACAAGGATATGCTCTTTTGAGATACAACCTGCCCTCATCTTGTACCTTGCAGATGTCTCAGGCTACCATTCAAGTTGTCCCTATCAAACATGGTCAGCCCTGCTGGCTGGGGGTGCTGGGAGATGTAATCCAACACATATGGAGGGCACCAGCTAGAAGAAGGCTGTATCCAGAGGTTTCTCCTGCTAGTGTTAAATGAACACAGCAATTGTGGGAGAAAAATACTTCCTTAATTCCTCAGAATGTTTGTGTATATGTTTTGGCATAGCTGGTTGTGCCTGTTCAAATATTGCACTGGGAAGTAAAAGCAAAAATGAAATCATGAGAAGAATGAGTAGAGAGGTGCCCAGCCTCCTGTCTCATACTAGCGGGAACAAAGCATAACTCTGAGACTCCCTATTAAGTACACGGATTTAAGATTAGAAGGACCACCATGCTGGGTCAGACCAAGGGTCCATCTAGTCCAGTGTTGCATTGACACAGTGGCTCACCAGTGGCCCACAGGAAACACAGGATATGAATGGAGCAGTGCCCTCTTATCCAGCATCTGGGGGACATACACATGCTAGCTTTAATGGTGGAAGTACCATATACCAAAGACTAATAGCCTTTGATAGCCTTTTTCCATAAATTTGTCCAATTCTCCTTTTAAGTCATCCAAAATCTGTGGCTGTTGCTGCATCTTGTGGAAGCTTAACTATGCACTGTGTGAAGAAGTGCTTCCTTTTATTTGTCCTGCATCTCATATCAATCAACTTCAGGGAATAACCCAGGGCTACGAGAGGGAGAATGTCTCCCTACCCACATCCTTTGTACCATGCATGATTTTGTACAGTTCTTTCATGTCTTTCCTAATCAATTCTTTTCTAAGCTAAACAATTCCAGAAGCTTTTCTAGGCTAAACAATTCCACAACTTGGAAAGTTACATCTGTTTAAATGCTACTTGCTTTCAAGTGTGCCTTAAGAACCACATTCTAATTTATTTCTTGCCTGGGTGATCACTTCTTTATAGTGGCCTTCCATATTTTGATTTCTCATTTATCCTGGCTTTCAGGGATCTCCAGTCTCCTATTCATTGTAGGCATCTGACAAGGTGGACTCTGGCCTATGAAAGCTTATGCTCCAGTTTAGTTCTTAGCTGTTAAGATGCCACAGGATTGATACACCACAGTGCTAGATACATTTGTTTAGAGGTAAGTCTGACTGAGTTCAATGGAACTTACAGGCAGTCTCCAGGTTACAGATGAGTTCTGTTTCTGAGAAAATAGAAATTCCTCTTTAAGTGGAATGTGTATGTACATTGGATCATGTACAGTCGGCCTTCCATATTCATGGAGCTTAGTGGCAAAACTGAATATCTCTAGTCCTCCACCCACTCACACACACCAGCACCTTCTTTTTGCAGCAAGGAAATGCCAGAGAGATTTCCCTCTCTGGAGGGGCAGGGCAGGAAGGCCTGCTTTGGGGGCTTCCCTCTCTCCCCTTTCACTTCCTCTCTCTCTGATGATGATTTGAGTCCTCCCTTTCTCCCCTTTTACTTCCTCTCTATGGTGATGTTTGGAGTCCTTCCTCTCTTCACTTCCTCTCTCTATGATGATGATACTTTTCTACAGCAGGCCTTTAACTCAGATTTTTAAATTAATAGGCTTTATGGCAATTCATAAGTATGAGCTGTTCATAACCTGGGGACTGCCTGCAATTCCAAGCAAGTGAGTATAGGATTGCAGCCCTAACTGCTTCCTTAAGCCATACAGATGAGAAATGGCTGCCCTGTAGAATTCTCAGCCACCTTGATTCAGTCCTTTGTGATCCCTCCCTGTTCAGCGCAAAGTTCCTATCCTTCCTTTCATTCACTGTGTAGCCTGGTTTCTCTTCAGATGAGAGTGCCTTTGTTTAAACAAAATTAACCCAAACCCTAACCTTCTTCTCTTCATGGTATACTGCTACAGTTTTCCAGTTCCTCCGTCTCATTTCTTTCCTTTTCTACCCCTTTCCTTCATTTCTTTAAAGAAGCAAAACATGCTAAAGTAAGATACTTCAAAGGGTTTCAAGTGAGAGAGATGTATAGGACCATCCAATGTAAGTTCACTCAGTAGTCTCACTTTGTACAATGGGGTTTACTCCATAGTAATTACATATAAAAAGGTAAAGGTTTCCCCTTGACATTACGTCCAGTCACGCCTGACTCTAGGGGGCGGTGCTCATCTCCATTTCCTAGCGGAGGGAGCCAGCATTTGTCCGCAGATAGTCTCTGTGGTCATGTGGCCGGCATGACTAAACAC